TGCTATGAGCTGTGACACCATGGCACTCTACTGAAGGTGACAGTGAGACTGCATCTCAAAAAAAAAAAAAAAAAAAATCAACACACTCTGCCTAAACTAATGGAGAAAGAGAGAGCACACAGGTTTTCACCACAAGAGAGAAGCGGCCACACCGACAGGTGCACAGGTATCAGAGGATGGAGATTGGGTGTTCTCTGGGGCCAGGTGGGGACACAGAACAGAAATGTTAGGACAGAAATGTTCTGTGCATTGATGGTGGTGCTCACAAAGGCATTCATTATTGTTTAAAACACATAATTTTATTTTAAGAGATGGAAATCATACTTCAATAAACTTGACTATAATAATAAAAAAACCTGATACTGGATTTTCTGCCTTCCTGAATAGACAGTGTTTTGGGCTCCAGAATGACAATTTGAATGCTCATTAAATTCCACCATAATTCTCTGGAAAATGAGAGCAAGAGATGACTGTGCTGGGGGAAGAGTCCTGGGGCCATGGGGGAGGGGGATATGCTTCAGTACTTGGGAATGAGTTAAAAAAATGACTGGAGGGGCTCGTAGGTTTCAGGAGTGTAACTGCTTTGTATGGGCAATAGTTCAAGAAGGATTTTGTTTTAGAAACTAAGCTGCTGCGGCACCCATAGCTCAGTGGTTAGGGCACTGGCCATGTACACCGGGGCTGCCGGGTTCGAACCCCATCTGGGCCTGCTGACCAATGACAACTACAACAACAACGAAAATAGTTGGGTGTTGTGGTGGGCCCCTGTAGTCCCAGCTACTTGGGAGGCTGAGACAAGAGAATCGCTTAAGCCCAAGAGTTTGAGGTTGCTGTGAGCTGTGATGCCACAGCACTCTACCAAGGGTGACAAAGTGAGACTCTGTCTCAAAAAACAAACAAACAAAATAAAAACCTAAGCTGCAGGTTAAGGGACTGGGAGAAAATACATGCAGTCAGATAAGGAAGGGTGCTACCACTGAAGTGAAAATGGCCATGGCCAGGTGTGATGCTTCATGGGAGGCAAAGGATTCACTTCATTGCCAACCTTCTACTTCCTGGGCTTGTGTCTACGTGTTGAAACAGTGCTTGTGGGGGTGATGAAACAGTGCTTCTGTTTTTTTTCACATAAAAAGTTCTTTGTCTTTTGCTGATGCTTTTCATGAAAGTACTTTCCATGAGGAGACCAAATGAGAAGAAAAACAGAATCTCTTCTCCAGGAGAGTTGACCCCTCCTTTCCCCAGTCCTTGCCTGTCCCACCCCGATAGGCTCCCAGCAGCTCGGGAGCTCCCGGGCTGGGCAGGCCAGTCCCACATGCTTGGGGACACCTCTCACTGAGCCATCCCTCAACTTCTAGTCAAGGGTAGTCTTAGAAAGCCCACCTTGGTGGCCTGTAGTCCACACACCTTCCAAGCCTGAACTACACATTCAATGAGTTTTCAAATGACCAGGCTCAGGACAGAAGCTGTATGTGCAGTGGAGATTCCACTGTGCTCAGCACCTACACAGCTCAGGTGCTGTGCCATGGGGTCCCTGCCTATCTGCCAGCCTGAGCTGGTGTCTGAGGTGGGGCCGCATCCCCACGGTTCTGCATGTACTGCTCCTGGGCAGCAGCCACAGCAGAGGGACAGTCTTCCAGTCGTCATTTCTATTTGGCTTTGGAATGCATATCCCTACTTAGCAGAAGATTTAGTTCTTTAATTGTGTTTTTCCTAGGCTAAATTTAAAATTAGCTTATTTTTCCTGTGCCAATGTGCTGGCTGGCACAAGAGGGTGTTCCCAGTCTCTCCCAGGATGCAGGAGCCTGGGAGAGACTGTAGCAAACATGCCCAGGAGTACTTAGGAGCAGCCAGGAGCACCCAGGACCACTTAGGACCACCCGGGAGTATTCAGGAGCACCCAGGACCACCCAGAAGCATTCAGGAGCACCCAGGAACATTTGGGACCACCCAGGAGCACTCAGGACCACCTGGGAGCATTCAGGAGCACCCAGGAACACTCGGGACCACCCAGGAGCACTCAGGACCACTTAGGAGCATTCAGGAGCACTCAGGACCAACCAGAAACATTCAGGAGCACTTGGGACCACCCGGTAGCACTCAGAAGCACCCAGGTGCACCTGCAACACTCAGGGTGCATCCCAACACACATTTCCACAGGCCTTAAAAAGGTCACCACCGGCTGGGCACGGTGGCTCACCACCTATAATCCCAGCACTCTGAAGGCGAGGTGGGTGGATCCCTTGAGCTCAGGAGTTCGAGAGCAATCTCCGCAACATAGAGACACTGGCTCTACTAAAGATAAAAAACTTAGCAGGGTGTTGTTGTGGCACCTGTAGTCCCAGCTACTGGGGAGGCTGAGGCAGGAGGATCACTTGAGCCCAGAAGTTTGAAGTTGCTGTGAGCTAGGCTGAGACCATAGTACTACCCAGGGCAAAGGAGTGAGACTGTCTCAAAAAAAAAGTCACCACAATAGCAGCTCAACCATAGGACAGCAGCCACACAGTGGCATGGCATCCTGCCCTAGAGGTGGCGGTGACTTCTCTGGAACAGGGTGGGGAACAGTGGCTCCATGAAAGGCTACTCACAGAGGACATGGCCCTATGCCCAGGGCACCCCTATTGCCTGGCACACTGTATCCTCACATTACCCACAGACAGCAGACAGCTGATGCAGCTACACAGACACTTTGGCTGGGGTGGATATTGTTCACGCTGGGCACCTAGTGTGGTTGGTGTATAGCACAAGGTGTATTACAGGCTGGGCCTCCAAGGGCAGGTAAGGCTGACACACAAGGTCCTGGCTGACACCAAGCCAGCCCTTGGGAATGTTCCCTGCTCACTGAGGGAGGGGAAATTCGTGGAGCTAGATCATCAGAGGGGCCCACCTTGCCTCCCATGCCGTGTCATAGGCACGGTATTTCTTCCATTTAAATGCCTGTTCAGGCCAGTCTGGGCCTGGGTGCAGCAGGCCAGAAGAACAAACGTGAAGGCTGAGGAAAAACAGCACATCTGCTGTCCCAGGCGGGCAGAACAGCGGGGCCCCTCTGCAGGAGGATGGAGACCCACCGCCCTCAAGCTCCATCGGACACACAGCATTGTCATCTTAGAGTGATGACAATCGCAGGAAACCACATGAAATTTAGTAATTTCTTGATCTTTAGTATCTTCCAGTTCCATTTTATTGGTTTGTCTTAAGCAGTTATTAGAATTGCCAGTTTGCCAATAGTAATTCCTAGTAAAAAAAAAAAAAAAAAAAAAGCTATTTCAGCTGCAAACAGGGGTGAGATGCATCAGAGGAGGTGTTACTTTCTTTTCCGTTATAAAAAACAGTAGGACATTCTGAAAGAAGAGCTGAAATTCCCGGTCCCCAGCAGGAGGCAGCTTCTTGACAGAAGTGGGGGCTGATCTCTGCCCCTGTCCGCAGCTCTGCCATTGGCTTACTGGCTGACTCAGCACCATCATCTTTAGACTGCTAGGCAGATAGATCCATGGTGGGTGTTCTGCACTTGCCTGCAGATCCCCTCCGACGCCCCCTGCCCTATCCTCTGGCCTGGGACAGCCTGTCCATCAGGAGCCCACCTTCTGGGCTGGGTTTCCAGGTGTTTGATGCATCCTTTTTCTGCTATCCTCAGGCTGTTGAGTTGGACACAACTCTGCCTGAGGGCAAGTTCCCCAACAAAAGGGAACAAACCAACTAGGCTGAAAAAACTTCTCAAGGCAATAGGAAATGGGATTAAGAGGCTTACAGTATCCAGAGTTGATCTGTATTTTGGCAATGAACTTGTGTGAACAGTGCTGGGAGGCTGGCTGTAGTTCTAATCTAGGGCTTCCTCTGACCATTTTTCAAGTTTCTTAGGTCTGTGTTAGAACAGTGGATGTTCCAGTCAGCAAAACCATGATAGCAAAGAGAAAAGGGACTGCCATGAGATGATGAGATGGCTGCCTCTGAGAAAAAATTAACATTCGTTTTTGTTTCTGTGAACTCCCAAATGAGCCTCTGCCCACCACTGTTCCAGACAGTATGCCTGGCCCTGTGCCCTCTCCTCTCCACAGCACCCAGCCCTATGCCCAATCTGAACACAGGGGACATGTTCTCTGCCCTGCCCTCTCCTCCCTGCCCTTCTCCAGAGGTTGTCAGGTTGTCACTTCAAGGAAAACAACTGGTGGTATTTTTTGCCAATGACAAAATCTGAGATTTCAATCAAAAATTAGAATTTGGAACCCCTGAATAAGCCACAGTAGCCTGAGAGCTTTCTGACAAGACTGCAGTGTTTCAAGTGTGGCTTCTCAGTGTGACATAATCAAGTGTGTCACCCAGCTGGAAATCTGCATAACTTAGTGAATGGAAAGCATTTTCCAGGTGATTAGAGGATGGTGCTACACAACTGTGCACAGAGAAGGGCTTGCAGTGCACGACCAACTGATGGGCGGTCACATCACTGTGGCTCATCGTCCACAGCTGGCACCAGATTCCACATTGCAACTGGCCTTCAAAGAACTATACTTGCTGAGTTGTGGTCTTGAGGAAAACTCGCCAGTTCTCTGAAAAGGCTACTCAAGAGTCCTTCCCTTCCTTTTTCAATGGCCGGTGAGGCTGGTTTTGTTCTACTTCAGTCAAAATGAAACAACCTTGGCCTGAACGCAGAACATGTGCGTAGGCCCAGATGTCACAGGTTTGCAACAGTGCAAACAATGCCACTCTTCCCATTACCTCTTTTGTTTTGGGAAATATAGGAGATTTTTCATAAATGATGCTAACATGTAGTTGGTATACTGTTATTTTAAAACAAATTAGTGAATACATATTTTAAAAATTTCTTTAATTTTCAGTGCAGTAAACCTGCAGTCCTCAAAAAGGGTGCGAGACCAGAAAGAAGGAGACCTGCCTCCAGGGTTCTCTGGACTGGATGAAAAGCCGTGTTTTCTGTGATTTCTACCTTTATATGCTTGTGTGTGATGATCTGGGAAGGCTTATGGTAAAATACCCAGTTTCTCTGTAAAAGAAAAAAAATCAGCATCCAAACAGCAAAGCAATTTTATAACACATACCCCTAATTACTTAGCCCAAAACCAACTGACAATAACGTGCCAAGACTTTCAGGAAAGGTCACATCGTCACAACGACTACAATAAAAGTTCTAAGTTGGCCTAGAAGTCAGACTACCACAAGGAAACCTACTAAAAACCAGAATAGTGTGAAGAACCAAGAGGAGGATTCTGAGGACATAAAAAGCATCCAATTCCTTGGCAAAATGCTTTCAGTAGGAAATGAAATCCTAGAACTGTAAAGTTGGGGTGATGGCTTGGATGAAGGCATCCTTGTCACCACCCTGAGCAACTGTGACCACTATCACCAAGTCAGGTTTCTTCAGATGGTCACCCCCAACCCCAAAGGCAGACAACTTCCTCCGATTCACAACAGGGTCCTGGTGCATCCTGCTAATCCTTGGTCTCCAAGCAGCATCTGGAGGAAACAGCTTTGAGAGAGTCGCGCCCCTGCAGCCGTCTCTCCACGCTCCACAGCCTTTTTATCGTGATGTGAATCGTAAGCTGTAGGTTGTGGCCCGAAACATTTGATTCAGTAGACAAATTTGTGTATTTAACAGAACTCTCTGCTTTTTCTGTATTTTTATAACTCAAGGATCAAGCAAAGGACAGTGCATCTCAGGCCATTGTATACAAACTCCCAAATCAGGCACTCCTAAATCCACATGTGTCTCCACAAAATGGGGTTAGAAGACAGTGACCTCAAGAGATAGCCAGTAAGAAACTTGTGCCTCCCTTCCCGTTCACTTTACTCAGCTGTACTGAAAACTCTGTTGAAATTAAGTGGCGTCTTAATTTCAGTGGGGACACCCACTGGAAACCCCAAAGCTGTCACTGAAGAGTCCACTCTCTCATCCCCTCATCTTAACCCCAGCACTCCAAGCTCAATCATATGTTGAGAACGAGGCCCAGCTGACCATGTCCCCTGAGGACAGCAGGAGCGCTGCACCCATGTGTCTGAGCAAGTCCCACAGGGTTCTTATTTCAGCTTCCCCAGGTAAAAGAGAATTTCTGGAGTATCATGGAGAAATGGAGACACACCCGTGTTTAAAATGCTGTTCTATTCTTTTTAGTTCAGAGGGCCTGCCAGGTGGAAAACTCTGAAGTTAGCATCCTACTTTTTATACTGGCAGGAGAAAAGCCTGACTCTCAGAACGTTGACTTCACACTCCAACCTTTCTCTTTAGAACAAGCAGCCTCAAACCAAGGGCAGCCCAAAGGTGTGTACCTGCTGCAGGGGTGCCCACCACAAGGTCCTTGGATAGCTTGGGCACCAGCGGGTGGGGTCTGGGAGGACAGTTGTGTAGCAATCCAGGCTGGGCATGCATACCCGTCTTGGCGTGAGGATGAAAACAAGGCCTGGATGTCTGCCAGTTCAGCTGGTCTCAGCTCCATGTGACTAAGTCCCATGATCAACCTTGCATAGCTTGCTCTCTCGGGTTCTTCTCAACACTTCACCAGATGCCCCCAGAACACCTGGGAAATGTGGCCAAGGAGGAAAAGGTGCATCACCCTGAGGGAGGCAGGCGGCTACGGACGTGCCCAAGCAGCTCAGGGAGGGCACAGAGGCAGCGTCTCTCCCTGTTTTCCCTTCTGAGGAGCAAGAGACACAGCTCTGGGTCTGGCCTTCCTGAGCTGAGAGGAAGATGCAGCTGTAGCTTCCTGACCTGCGTGAAATTGCACAACGATGAGAAGGTGGAGGTGAGAGTGAGATAGCCCTGGTCCTCAGCACTGCAAGGGAAGGACTGGCCACCATGGTGGACATGGGCTCTTCTTGCTTTGATTGTCAGGTGGTGCCAGTGTTGACTTATTTTTCTTCCTAAGAGCAAGTCTGATTTTTAAATAAGAAGTTCAAAGGATGGAAAAGAGTGAACATAACCAATCCCTTGGGTGCTGAAACTCAAGGAAAAATCTGATTTATTAAATCCACGTAAGGTGCACTTTAAACGTCTACACTCCCCTGAAGTTGAGACAGCTCTGGCTCCTCTTTGCATCTCCAGTCATAGACACAGGCAGTCATCCTTACTTAGACACTCCCAGACCACAGAAGCAGAGGCCCCCAGCCACCCAGGACACATGCCACTGACCTCAGCCACCCAGGCTCACGAGAGGCCCCACTGTGAGCACTGGGGTGAAAGTGGGACAAAGGGCAGGGCCAGACCCTGTATGGTCAGTGCCCTCGGCAGAGCTCTGCCAGCTTCCATGGCTCGGCCAGCTGCAGGCCTCTGTGCCCTACCCAGGCCCCTCCAAGGGGCTCTGATAGGCTGTCATCTGGGGTAAAACTCATGCCCAGAGAGCCACAGGTATAAACACATTTTACAATTTTTTTTCACTTCACTTCTGTGATATCTCAGGCTGAAAGCTGTCTCTAAGTGTAAGGACGCTTACGGATGTTTGCACACACAGCAACGCAAATCTATGGAAGGGCCAACATTTTTCTTTCCTTGTAGGCTGCACTGACTGCCTTTGAGAGACCCTGAACTGCAGCCATCTGCAGTTGTGGATGGTGACAGCAGCTCAGAGAGCCACAGAGCGGGTGCCTGAAGGAGAGCTAGGCCCCTGGACTCACTGGGCCTCCCTCCAGTATCTTCAGCAGCTTCAGAGCTCTAGTAATAGGTCCTAATGTCAAACAAAAGCAAAGAATCATGTTTCCTCAGACTAGCCACTACATTTGGCAATAAATAAGCTCACACTAGGCATTACCACCAGCCCACAGTGGAGAGCCAACAGGCCCATGCACACTATCTGCAGAGCATGGTGGAGGAAGTGGAGAGGCACACCTGCACCCACTGGCCAGGCTAGACTGGCTGGGCTCAGTGAAGTTGGCCTTAGCACTCTTAGAAGCGACCTTCCTGCACGGCAGTGGACAATGCCTAAACTAACTGCGACGGACATTTCTGACCAGACAAACATAAACAAGAAACCACCAATACTCTGGAGATGCAGCTGAGAACATGGCTGAGGCACCTGCATCATTAAACTTCTATAAGTGATCTGTCCAGCAAGCTGAGCACCATGGGGCGCATGGCCATGATGCGGTGTCCAACTTGGGGGACTTTGCAGCCAAGCTCCCCCTCAGAAGGCACTTGAATTCAGACAGGCCCCTTAGGCACAAAATAGTGATTTCAGAGTTTCTGCTAATGCAGTTTTTGTCCAGATGGGAATATGGACTCCTGGTGCTTCTTGCTCTGCTGTGAATTTTTTAACATCAATGAAATATGTAAATAAGACTAGAGATGCCAGCACAGTGAGGAGTGGGGGTGGAAGAGGGCTGCCATTTTAGAAAGCAATCTGATACCTCACCCACAATTTTAGATATACATTAGTACATGTTCTAAGCCAGCAGTTCTGCCCAAATTGCCCTGCATGAGCAGGTGAGGCCTTACATGCTGTGATGTTGCCACTCAGGAGTTCTGGCCAACAGAATGTTGAATAAAATTTTCCTGAATCTTTGGGTTCCCCCTAAATTAATATTTTCCTAACTGTAAAAATGGTTTTTCAAATGATAACAGACACAGGAAATTGAGCGTCTCCTGTGGCCTCCACCCCATCCCTTGGCAGAGACTCTCTAGGCCTCTCCATTTTTTCTCCTTTGACGTCACCACAAAGACCTCAATATGCTGGACATTGAAATGCCCTCAATAATTAAAGAAACATGAATTATATTTAATTAAGTAATAAATATATTTTGCTTTATTGTCACTTTTAAGTTGAAATATGGAAATTCTATCAGAAGACAGACTTTCAGAGACAACTTATTTAATATTCATATTATAAAATTTCATTGCTCTGGTTTTTCAACTGCAATAAAGATTATTGTAAGCCAACAACTTACTTGACCTTGTTAACTGAAATAAAGTATTTTATTGACAAATTAGAATTTAGGCATTATAAAGAGACAATTTTCACAGAAGTCTACTCTCTGACTTAAGGAATGAGAAGTTTACTTCAAAGTTACAGAAAAAAGTAGCAAAGAAATAGCACTTCTAGAAGCAGCAATGGTTTCAAATGAACAGAAAGGGAAAGGAATAGAAAGTTAATATTTAGATAGGAAAACATTCATAAGTGGAATTTAAAAAAATCTATTTCCTGGCTTGGTGCCTGTAGCACAGTGGTTACAGTGCCCGCCACAAATACTGAGGTTGGCGGGTTTGAACCCAGCCCAGGCCAACTAAACAACAATGGTAACTGCAACAAAAAAATAGCCAGGCATTGTGGTGGGTGCCTCTAGTCCCTGCTACTTGGGAGGCTGAGGCAAGAGCATCACTTAAGCCTAAGAGTTGGAGGTTGCTGTGAGCTATGACGCTATAGCACTCTACTGAGGGCAACACTGAGAATCTGTCTCAAAAAAAAAAAAAATCTATTTCCAAAGCAAGGAAAAAAGTCTGTGTTCTGCAAGGTTTGGATGAAAAATGATGCGACACACAAACATCCTTAAGGCAGAACTGAAGAAGTGGCCAGGGTGCTTCAAACCTAAGAACTATAGATGTAGTTAGATGCCCAGAGACCACACCCCTTCTGGTGAGTACCAGACAAGTTCTCAGATGCTGGGAGCTGTGCACAGAGGTATGGTCAGGGTGGTACATTGTGTGCAGATATATACGTTGGTCTGTGAAGACGGCAAGGGCTTGTTTTGTTTTTAAAGACAGTGATAACTGAAGTGTGTCTTCTGTAGCAGGACTGAGCATTTCCTGCAAGTGCCTGGGTCCCAGCTTGGGCCAGTGAGAACCTGGCGCTCACTACCAGCTCTCAATTCTCAGGTGGAGATGGGAGGTAAGTTCCAGGTTCGGGGAAGAATAATTCTTTCCATGATCAATACCCCAGTCATTCTTTTCTCCATGGGCATAGTTCAGTACCATTTTGGGTTTAAAATGTCAATTTTGCTATTAGCTACAAATCCTTCCATGAAAAGGCTTACTCTGAACCTGGGTTCATTTTAAATGTTTTTCAAGAACAAAAGCCCTTCCATGCTCACAGAGAGGAGCACAAAGGCACCATTCAGCGGCATCACAACGAGGCTCCCCAGCAGCCCTGTGGTCTCTTCCTTCAGCGTGTCCCATACACAGGCTCCAGTCTGACCTTGTGACAGAAACAGACCCGGAGTCCACACGGCCTGTGTCTCGCTTCCAGCAGAACCCTCAGGCAGAATTAACTCTCCCACCAGGAAGGCGAAAAAATTAGCTGTTACTTCTCATTATGCTCAAACACTTCTGACAGCCAAATGAAATTGCTGGAAACTTTACTTTTGGTTAGAATTTGTAATTAGAAAATAATTTCTGATGCATTACACAGTAGATCCCCTTATCTGCAGCTTCAGTTACCCACAGTCAACTGAAGCCCAAAAATATGAAATTGAAAATCCCAGAAATAAACAATTTATATTGCATGCCCTTCTGAGTTGCTGAAATCTCTCACTGTCCTGCTCTGTTCCTCCCAGGGCTGGGATTGTCCCTTCATCCAGCACGTCCATGCTGCAGATACCACCTGCTGTCTTGGTGATCAGAGGGACAGACCACAGGAAGAGGGGTGAGTACAGCAAAGGCAGACAGTGGGAGAGGGAGAAAGCACACTCACGTAACTTTCATGCAGTAAATGGTTATAATTTTTCATTTTGGGGTTTTAATCTCTCACCGTGCCTAATTACAAATCAACTATAGGTGTGTATGTATAGGAAAAGGGCACAGTATGCAAAGTGTGCAGGGTATGAAGTGGTTGGAGGCATCTCCTGGGGGTCTTGGAAAGAACCCCACAGACAAGGGTCTCCTGTGTGGCTCACAAACACCCCATTTCCAAAGACTCCAATGACATGTGAAAACTTCACAGTCCAGTGTAAAGTAACAAAAAGCAGGATACAGTAGAATTCCAACTTTTTAAAGAAAGAAAGTGATTATGCCGCATATGCACAGATGAGCAGACAGGAATGAGATATGCTAAGATATTGACAATGGCTACTTGGAGCCATGGAACCAGATGCACCCTGGACATAGAGCCACAGCCTGATGGGCGGGAACAAGCCCTTGGGGACTCTGTCAGGAGGGGCTGTCGGGCTGCAGGTCCACATGATGCATCTTCTTTTCTCCACACTTTTTCTGGAGGAAACTTGTCTTGAAACCAAGTTATTTTAGCAATAATAGGACAGCCGGATTTCCCACCTGAATTCCGTGTGAAGTTTGGAACTTGGTATGGAAGATTTAGGTTATAAAGACAAATGTTTTATTAATTTCTTCTCAACATGCAGGTGAAAAACTTACCTGGAGGACAACTAATATCTTCTCCACGGGTCATGCTCATATTGTCTGTTTCCTGCATGAAAAGTATAAGAAAACCCAACTGAGAATTAAATTTGTCTGAACACACAGAAACGCTGCACATTTCTAAGGACATGCAAGAAAAGAACGCTGAGTGGTGCTTGTCTTTTCAGATGTGGCCACGTGTCATTAACATTTTGTTTTATAATTATTCCATTTAAGTGGAAGCAATTAATTAAGAGGTTGGTAGAAGGACACAGTGTCAAAACTGTTCCTCTCAACACCAGTCCCTACCATCTGCACAACACCTCAACGCTTATCACGGCTAATGACTTGGAAACGGAGACCCACGCGCAGATGGTGTGTGGTGGATGCTTTGCCAAGTACAGAAAACCCACGTGTGGCTCTTCCCTTTACTAGGCTGGGGCTACTTTTTGCTTTTCTGGCAGTGGAACTTGGAAAGAGATTCAGAGCAGAACCACGCTACTAAAATAATAATAGAAAAAGGTGATTTTTTTTCCACATTGAAAGAAACCGCTTTTCTTCAAAATTTCCCCTGCCCTCAGTTTTCTCCTAGTATACAAAGCAGAGACCTCTATCAAGGCGCTGGGTTACTCCTCCTGCCACACCCTCACTCTCACAGGTGACCAGAGCTAGTTTTATAGCTACTCAGGCTCCTGGAGAATCACCCCTGAGAAGTGATGGTCTGAAGAAGTCACAGGCACACCAGCAGCTCCTAACTGTGGAATTTGACACTGTCATTTCTTACCAGTTGGGCTGAGACAGCAGGGGAGAGGTTACAAGGTTCTCACTTTTGCTGCCTTTGTTCTCAGGGCTCTGGGTTGAGCTCCAGGCTTTGAAGCTGACCACCAAGGTGGTTCACACCAGGCCCCCCAGGGTCCTATTCAACCATACTCTCTGGTTAGGCCAGCTTCATGCTCTAGAAACTTCCCAACTTTTTGGTAGAAACCAAATACTTTCATTATGAGACATTTTTAGTTTTTTTTTTTTTTTTTTTTAGTAACAAAGAATTTTACCTATTAAACTCTGGAAAATACTGGCAACTTTCTATTGGAACTTCTGTAATATCTCCAAGGAATAGCAAAACAGGAGCTCAAGGTAGGTGAGACCCTGCCACAAATGTGCTGCCTGAAATTCAGTAATTACAATTTAAAAAGCAGATCACCTGATCTGAGGAAACATATCCCAGTCCTGATGAATCCTCACTGTGTGTGTCTGTGACCTACATTTACACTGAAACATCTGAAATCAGGAAAAACACTTGTGCCACCAATGGCATTTTGTGGCTATTTCTCCCTGTTGAGGTAAAATGCAAACAGAACATCCCGTCCTTGCTTGTGCCACCATCTTGCAAGAGCCTTTCAGTTTTTCCCAGTCTCATTCCTAAATTCTTAGTTCTACTGCTAACTCAGCATGTAACCCCTCAACTTTAAAGGGTCCCCAGAGATATTTTTTAGCCCAGACACTGGTATGTACCATTCTTGATTTTGGGGTTATTGTGATGGTCCCACCCTGTAAAGTAGGGTGTTCTTCAAAGACCAATTTATCAAAGGCAGGCACAGCCCTGAAGAGGCTTTAGGCCAGGCGTCCTCAAACTACAAACCGCAAGCCATATGAGGCCCGCCTAGGACATTTATCTGGCCCGCCAGGGGTTTTTGCTGCCACTGCCTGTCCTACTTAGCAGATGACTGGTCCTGGGGCCTGCAGTCTGGCCCTCCAACAGTCTGAGGGACAGTGAACTGGCCCCCTGTTTAAAAAGTTTGAGGACCCCTGCTTTAGGCTGTAACTGTTGAGGTCATTGTGGTTTCATGGACCTTCAGTGAGAAGAAAAGAAGAGGTGACCCTCGCCCCAGGCTAAGAGTACTCCTCCAAGCCAGGCCTGAGATCTACAGTGGTCAGTGGGTGACGGGAAGGGCACCCACACCTAAGCACACACCACGTGGCCTGGGCCACTCAAGACAGACACCAGCTGCCCTTGTTGTTGCCCGTTCTCTAGATGGTCAGCTAAGCCCATCTCCCTGTGATGGCCACAACCCACACATCCTCACTCTCCGCTAGGGTCAGGAAGAGCTGCAAATCCACTTTGATCACTCGACCACCTACATTGGAAACGGAAGTGTGGGCTAGTGGGCTGCAGGGGTGTGTGCTGGGTTCAAGTGCTTAGCACTGGCCACGCTACAGAAAGCCTGCCGGGCCCTCCAGCAAACCATGGCCCTAACAGCCACCAAGGAACCTTCAGAACCTACAGGGACATAGCACAGGAGGGTGCATATAGGACTGCACAACTGTCAGCCTGCACTTGGCAGGGCACTGACCACTCACCACAAGCAGGCCATGTGGACACCACAAAGCAATGGGACTTCTGGAAAGGCCACTGGCAACTGAGGGGCCACCTGTCACCAGACAACCCAAGTAATCTGCTGTGGTCACAATTAGAAGAGTTCCCAATCTGCCATAAGCCAGGTCACTCTGCTATTTTAATTTGCACAAAGGAGAGAAATTTCTGGACACTATTAATAATTTCTTTGTGTTTTCTATTGATTCAAGGAAGAGGGTTCTCCTTCCTAACATAAATATGGTCCTGCAACCTCTGCCATGGCACCAGGGTCAGGAAGGAACTTGGTGGTGCCTATGGTATTCCTGTTGGTCTTGGCCTGTTCATGGAGCAGCCGGCGCTGCTCCCTGTGGGGCTCCACCTGTACATGCCAGGCCGTGCCTGAGGGCCTCTGTGTGGGTGACAAAAACAGCTGTGCTGAGGTATAACTGACGCTTTATTTTTAACAGAAAGTTCTTTAAACAAAATGGTTCAACATGAATATAAGGAGAAAAGCTAGATGTGGACTGAATGGTTTGGTGTGAGGCTGCAGTGCTGACGTCCCTCTGTGCCAAGTGCTGGCCCTGGGAGAAACTATCCCAGCAGGCAGTGGGCAGCAGGGCAGGAAGCAGGTCTGACCACTGCATGGTCAATCTCTGGGGAAGATGGAAGAGGTGCAGACCTGAGTACCAAGCAGATGCCCCCAGTTCCTTGGGTCAGAAACAGGCCCACCCTTCATGGTCTGTGCTGCTGTCATGCATCGCTCACCAACCATGGGCTTCCAGGCTGGAAACAACACTGACAGGAGAGGGCTGGAAATGGTCTGCAGGGACACGGTGCCACGGGGCCTGGTGCAACACAGTGCGCTACCTACCCCTAAGCCTGCCACCACATAGGGCATTGCAGTCCATAGGCCTATGGTCTCCCTATCCTCACTGTCTGAACACTGGAACTCTTATCTACCAACAAGCCACCCCATGCTGAGGTTCCTCTGTCACCACAAGAGGGGGCAACACACTGGGGGCAACTGCACGCTCCATCGGCCAGGCTGCTTGGGAGCCTGGCTCCTCCTCAGCCCACCTGCTTTGCTGGGCTGTGATGCGGACAGCTGGGGCTGGGAGGCTGCTTTGTTCCAGTGGTTTTGCTTCAAGCCAGTTAGCACGTGCATTTCAGACAGGATGGATACCCACGTCCTAGCTGCATAGATGGGCTATGTGGGCTCAGGTGGCGTCAGATCCTAGAGGGCACACCTGCCTGCCCACATTCTGACTTCTGCTCACCCTCTACTGCTGCCCAGCAGACAAATGTCTTATTTAGAGTCCACTTCAGAGCTCCTCCAGAGCTGAGCTGAGTGCAGCCCCTCAGGCCAGGCCCCCAGCTACAGCAACCCCAGCTCTGGCCCCTTGGCCCTGATGTCCTTCCAGCAGATGTCTGGTGGCTGCTCCCCTCCCCCAGGTCTTGGCTTACACATTACCTTATTGCAGAGAAATCGGGAAGGGACAAGGGAAGTTTGACCTGTCTAGCCTGACCTCATCTGTGCCCTCAGCCCTGTTCATGGGAGGTGGCTGTTGTCCTTGCAGATGGAGAAGGCCTGGTCTGTGGTCTTCACAGCTGTCTTTAGCTTGTGCTGCCCAGCTAGAGCCAGGCAGGCTGGGGCAAGCTGTGTGAGTCCGTGTGGAGCTGGCTGCGGGACCCCATGCACTGGCATCCCTGGGCAGGCAAATGGTGTCCCTGCACACAGCGAGTGTTCAGCCAGCAGGGGAGGGGACACCATGCACTGTGCAGGGGCCACCATGCTCGAAGGAGGCAGCTGCAGGGACTCACCATCTGATTCTAAGTAGTTTACAAGCCCTTTACCATTTCTGTAGTCCCTGTTTGTGGTTTAGTCCAACAAATTATAGCACCTCAACCTTGATGTACTTGAACAATGGCAAGTGAGTCTTCTGTGCTGGTCTCAGGTGCACAAGAGCTACCAAGAGAGGATGCCCCGTGCCTGTCCCCTCAGGCTGTCTAGAAGCTCTAGGTACCAGTAGCAGATTGGGTGGGTCCAGTTTCAGCAGGTTAAGCTAGTCCAAGAAAACATCTAAAGCAAATGTGAATCTAAATTTACGTAAATGAAACTTTTCTCTTTCCCCTAGGGATAGGCATTTCAAAACTATTCACCATAAAACTTTGGTCTACACTGAATGAGGAAGGGTCAGTGCTGTGGCAGCCATGTGCCCATAGCTGCCTGGGGACTCCTGCCTACATCATCATACCTGGGCCTGCCATTCACTGACCCAAAATATCAAGTGGGTTAATGCTGAAGACTCGCTGTGCTTTAGGTAAAAATGTGAAAAACTTATAAAGTCTCTATGGAGTTTATAGAGTTTACTTGTGAAAGTAAAAGAAAAAGAAAAAAATCATAAAATAGTGTTTGTATTTGAAAGGATAAAATTATAAATCTTAAGTAATTTCAAAATTTGACTCTTAAACTGTAAAAAATTTAAGCTTATATACTGCTGTCAGAGTCTCTCAGCATTTAAAATATAAATTATGATTATTCCCTGTAACATGCTGTAAGTCTCTTACATATATAATCCCAGTCATGAAAAATATCAAAATGCTACCATTGAAGGTACTATTGGTAAAACACTTGTCGTTTGTGTTTTTTTAATCAGGAAGGAGTTTCTACCAGAGACTTCACTGGTAGAGGCATCCACTTTCAAACTATAACCTTTTTGTGAATTCCTAGATCCTGACTCCTTGGACCCTCTGTCTCTACTAGGAGGCCTAAGAAATCACAAGAAATGTATCTTCAGCTTTAAGCATGAAATTATTTGTCTTGATTTCACTAAAGAAAAAACTAGACATGCAGCACATATGTGTATTTATCTGCTTGTAAACATACAACCTTGTTCTGAAGTGGGGGAGGGCAGTTTTCAACAGAAACACAGAGCCAAAGGCAGTGCTGAGCAGGCGGTGGGCACTGGGTATCTTACCTGGTCCCTGGTCTCTCCATGGTTGTCCCTGACCAGAATGGCCGTACCCAGAGCCTGGTGGATGGGAGCTGGAGCCCTGTCTTCCCCACCTCCCTGTGGGAAGGCATGATCAGCACATTAACAAGTTCTCCAGAGACACGCCACGTTATGAGCAGCAGAGAGGCAGCAGGTCAGAGCTTTCAAACTCGTGTGCAGTTAAAAATCACAGGTGAGCTCATGAAGAGTGCAGACACACCAGAGGGCCTGGCCCTGGAACAAGAGGGGCTCCAGACCACACAGGAGTTGGCCTACATGCTCCTAGACCCATGAGCCAAGCCTGATGTCCACCCCACTTCTCCATAGACTTCATTAACATCCACTTTCAAGCCGTAACCTTTTTGTGAATTCCTAGACCTTGACTCCTTGGACCCTCTGTCTCTACTAGGAGGCCTAAGTACAAACTCACAGATGATTTTTAGACCTGGACACCCCACCACATTCCATAAGGCTGTGAGTGTGGCTGCCCCCGCACACACAGGGAATGTGTCTTCTGCAGAGCTGCCAGCGACATGGATTCACCAGGAGTAGTCAGTGCTCTCCTACACTGTAGGACCAGCTCAGCGTGTGTACACCATGGGCCACTGTGGGGACTCGTCACCAGTGAAGGGAGACAAGTCCACAGTGCTCATGAGCTTTGTGCAGCTGCTCAGCCTGAGGACCAGCCGCCCTCCTCCAGGGTCTAACACAACCTCAGAACCATGCTCCCCAGCTCTGTTTCCCTGCACTGACCATAGAGTCACTGTCTTTAAATACTTATTTTTGATAACATCACTTCATTACCTTCACAAACTCCCCAGTGTGCCTTGGATAACAAAGTCAACACTCTGCCTGGTGTCCTACAGGCTTTGTGGTCTCTAGCGCTTGCTAACCTTTCTCAATTCTCCTCCTATTACAGTTTTTTTTTTTTTTTGAGACAGAGTCTCACTTTGTAGCCTTCAGTAGAGTGCCGTGGTGTTACAGCTCACAGCAACCTCAAATTCTTGGGCTTAAGTGATTCTCTTGCTTCAGTCTCTCAAGTAGCTGGGACTATAGGCACCCACCACAACACCTGGCTATTTTTAGAGATGAGTTCTCACTGTGGTTCAAGGCTGGACTCAAATGAGTGAGCTTAGGTGATCCACCTGCTTTGGCCTTCCAGAGTGCTAGGATTACAGGCATCAGCCACCTGCCTGGCCTCATCATAGTATTTATCCAAAGCTAACTGCTCAGCATTTCCAAAAACCTGAGGACTCTCCTGTGGTGCTCTAGCCCTTTCACCCTATGGCCTAGGCTCTGAGCTGTGCACAGGTGGCCATCAAAACTGGTCAGTGAACACAGGTGTGTTTATCTCTCAGCCCCTAAGGGCTGGCATGAGCTCCTGGATGACACATGGTCCATCTCCAGCCTGGCGTTGTGCCCGGCACAAGGGAGGACAGGGCCTGGTCAGCTCAGGTTGCCATGGCCCAGCTTTGTGGCCCTGTGTGAAAGCGACTGGCTGGGCAAGACTGTGGCACCCACCATGTCTTGGCATGGGAGCTGCCAAGGACGGGCCGAGACTCCAGCCCCAGTTTTGCCAAGAACCCGTGTGATACTGGGTGAAACATGTGGGGCCCAAGGTCTCCCTCAGCAAATGGAGGCCTGTACCCCCGAGCTGAAGCTGGTTTGTAGAGAACACAATGGCTCCACAAGAAGAGAATACTTTGTACGTCATGTATGTGACCACATTAATTGGGAACAGCCCGTCTGTGTGCTGACTTCCTTAGAAAGTAGCCACATGGAGTTTCTGTGCAGATTAAAAGTAACTGTAGGGCAGCGCCTGTGGCTCAAAAGGGTAGGGCGCTGGTCCCATATGCCAGAGGTGGTGGGTACAAACCCATCCTGGCCAAAAACTGCAAAAAAAAAAAAAGGTAATTGTACTACTGCATTAACTAACAGACAAGACTAAGGGGAGCCCACAGCCTCCTTTAGTATTCAAAACAAAACCTGCTGCACAGACAGAGATCTTAGGACATGTTAAGAAAGGGGAGTTTCGGCAGAACTGGTAATGCTGCCAACCCACACAGCCTATGCCAACTACAAGCTCCTCAGTCCCATTTGCACCTCTGGCTACCTCAATGAGGACTGGGTGCCCTGCAGGCCTGTGCACAGTGTGGACTCCTGAGTCCTAGCTGCTGACCAACTAAGGGAGCAGGTAATGCAGAGAAAATGCTGTTCATTTATTTTGCTTGAATGTACTTTGTTTTGGGGTTTCAGATTCTGTCACCTACAGTTGATAGGAGAAAGGTGAAATATGGAGAAGGGCCTCGGACCTGAGGAAGGGAAGCCGTCCTCCTAGGGCTATGGATGGCTTTCCACACCTGCTGCACTTATGTCTTCCAGGAGGACGACCTGGACATGTCCACGGTGCCACCCAGCACAAGGCTGCTCAGGGGGAAAGCTGCAAGGCTGACACCAATTAAGATCCTGACCATAGTCTTTGTGGGTAGGAATTTCAGGTGAGTTCTCCTATTCCATCGAGAGAAACAATAGTGCTACTATAGTTAGCAGTATAGACATGAATCAGAAGAAGACATGAGAAAGTAACTGAAAGAATCTCATTAACAAAAGAAGACAATGAGTATGATGTGCAACTTCTGGAGGTAAACAATCAATGAGACACACTGTTCTTCTACTACCTTAGTATAAAACAATCCAAGCTGAGTGCAGTCGCTTAGCAAGGTGGGAGGATCATCTGAGCCAGGAATTTAAGATCAGCCTGAGCAACACAGTGAAACCCCATTTCTATAAAATATTAAAAAAATTAGGGCGGCACCTGTGGCTCAGAGAAGTAGGGCGCCAGCCCCATGTGATGGAGGTGGCAGGTTCAAACCCAGCCCTGGCCAAAAACTGCCAAAAAAAAAAAAAAAAAAATTAGCCAGCATGTAGCACCTGTAGTCACAGCTACTTGGGAGGCTAAGGCAGGAGGATTGCTTAAGCCCAGGACTTTGAGGCTGCTGTGAGCCAGGGTGATGCTATGGCACTCCAGCCTGGGCAACAGAGCTAAACTCTGTCTCCCCAAACAAACAAAAAACCTTCATAACACACTTTTAAATACAATCACAGGTACCACGAAACAGAATTCTTGCTCACTACTGGAGAAGGAATTAAGTGATCGTTATCAAAAGTTAATGATTGTTTATCATTTTTACATTTTGATCCATAATTCTGCAAATTATGATACCCTATTTTATGGAAATATTGCGCATAAAAGCATGATGAGTAATGAGAAAAACATAAACATCTCAAAGTTCAAAATAGGAGAGCTATTAAGTGAATACAGACTGTCTAGTGGTGGACAACTGGGCAGCCCTTGTTCAAGGAGAGCTGTCTGAACACAGCCCTGGCCGTGCCCCTGGCTGGGCATGTTCAGGGGCTGAGGCTGCTGATGCTGCCTTACCTGGTGCTGCCTGCCAGCTTTAGGTTACAAAGCTAAGATTCTGTGTATTTCCTTTTTAATTATCTTCTATATGCTACAAATTCTCCTAGTAAGTGGGTCATTATGAAAGTTTTGACATACACAAAAATCAAGAAATGTAAAATCTTTGTGGATGGAAACAAATCCCTCCCAGCAACAGTAATAAGCTGAGCAAGCTGAAACTTGCATGGGTGACTCAGAAAGGACACTGCTGACTATGTTTCTTGGAAGTGAAATAATGGACCATAACAGTCTGTCTCAAAACTATTATAGCTTCCCACATATGCCTTTATTATAAAGAAGAAAAAAACCCTAAACTTTTGTCAAATAAAAAAACATGACCCAAATAGTCTCTGTACTTTGGGGAATCCTAGAGAGAAGCTTATGTACCCATAGAAAGAGTTCTGACTTATTTAATTAATAAGTCAATCCTTTCTGAGAATTTTGTTACTAATGGGACCAGAATTTAAACTACTGGGTAAGGACCTATCATTTTAATTTTATTCTTTTCTTTGAATTTTATCAGCCTTTTCTTGGGATTTTTTTGCCAACAAAACCTAGGAAGCATTAGGGCATATGCTGAGAGCCCCATGCCCACCTGTGTGGTGTGTGCCCCAGTGTGCTCGGCCCACGATGCGCCGGCCCTCCTTCATGCAGGCCTTTGAGACGACAGCCTTCAGGGTGTGGAATTTGGTGAGCCGAGATCTCTGCAAATAGACAGGAAGCAAATGAGATATGCAGGGGCTAGACCCCCCAGGCCAGGAGCTGGGATGGCATGGAGGGAAAGTCAGGGACGTAGCCCACATGTGGCAGCTGCACAGCCACCCTCTAACCTTAGGACCCCATGAGAGGGCCTCAGATACTGGTGCTCCCAAGTTCCCTAGAAAAGCAGCACCAAGGAGCTGAGTTGTCTGTGGGTTAAGCAAGCATTTCTAAAAAAGAACCTTCAGAATCATTGTGATAATTCAGGTGATGACCACACAATCTTACCAAAAAAGACAATGCATTAAAAATCTTATTTCAATTCTTAGTTGTAAGAACAGAATTAGTGGAAATGCCAACATCTCAGGAAACAGCAGCAGGTGGAAAAATGGAGCATTCCACCTTTCTCCTTCCAGCACCGTGTTGCCCTGTAACCTTCATTTCTTTCCAAACCAGAAGCATGACCCCATCACCACTCTGCACCGGTCAAGAGGTCAGACACAGTGAGGAGGTACCACTGAGTGGTCATCCACAGGCTGCAGCCCACAGGCCACTCATCCCCTCAGTGGCCCACCAAATCTCAAGAGTATTTTCCCTCTTCTTTTGTTTTTGCAACCTGCACATAATTTGGGTTGCTCCTAAGTCCTGGAACACTATGGGATGTGTCCATTGTGGTGTGAAAGCACAGGCTGCTAGGACAGATAGTGCCTTTCACGTCCCTGCTTGGGCAAGGCACATTCCAGTGAGCTGCATGCGGGGAAGCCTTCCAGGACTCCCACAGTGCTGCACTTATGGAGGAACTGCAGGACACCCTAACTGCCTCACAGGCCTGCATCTGGCAATGCTCCTGCCTCCCCAGGTTGAAAGCTCCTGGAAACTAAGGGTAATTGGCTGGGCGGCACCACTGGCCCTGGGTTCATGCTGGGGTCCTAAGCCCTCACTAGGTATTTTGGTAAAAGCTACAGGTTGAGTGTCCCTAATCTAAAAATACAAAATCTGATACCTTTAGAGCACTGAGAAATTCCAGACCTGACCTCAGGTGACGGCTATCCAAGATGAAGACCTACAGGGAGGCCCGCTTCACCTGGTGATGCAAGTGTGTTTCTGTTTACTTATTATTTTCTTAGGAACATTTCTTTTCTCCAGCTAACTATTATAAGAATACAGTACACAGTACATATATTGCTTGTGTTATTAGGGAGGTGTCAGTCAACAGGAGGCTGTCAGTAAAGTTTTGGGGAGTCAAAAGTTTTATGAGGATTTTCAACTGCATAAAGGGTTAGGCATCCCTAACCCCCATGTAGTTCAGGGTCCAACAAATATGCAAATTTTCCAAAAATACTTTTGGGCCCAAGAGTTTCAGATAAGGGTCACTCAATCTGCACTAGATAAGCTGCTGACATAGAAGCCCAAGGCTTCAGATCATGCATTTCTAGTTTCATGAGATAATATAATCCTTTTAATTTCTAGAGTAGAAATTTGAAGAACTGAATAGTAATCTCAGTGTTACCTGTGAGCAGTTGTGAACTCACATTTTGTTCTAGAAGAGCCTCCACGGAGTACCCCTTTTCAGACTGCAGGTACTTCTGATGAAAGAGCTTTCCGTCAAACACATTCCAGGGCATGAAATCACTTGTCTTCCAGGGGCAGCCACATGCACTGTTGACCAGGACCAGAGTGGTGAGGCCACGGACCAGCAGGGAGCCCAGCTGCACAGCTCTGGGGTTGATGTAATCGGGCTACAGAGGACATGCAAGAACATGAGTGGGAGGCACACCTGGGAAATATGCTGCTGAGGTGGCCACAGTCCTAACTGCTCAGAAACTGGTCAACAGGACCGTGGTCACCTCCACCATGGCTGAATGTCAGGAGCTGCACAGATCATAGGCGTCCTGGAAAACGGCATAGCCAGGGAGCGGAAGGCATGCTCCCCATGCCTCATTGGGGAGCATGTCTTCACTCATCTGTCACCCTCCCTAGATGCGGACTTTCACTCAGGCTGTCTCCCACAGGCTCTGTAGCGTCTGGGGCTCCCAGGACTGTGGGCTGCTCGGCTGAAAGGCCCCTGCAGCCACAGGAGCACCAGCCCTGCTAGGACTGCGTCCCTCCAGGACTGTGCCCACACTGGTTTCTTGGTTTGCTCCCTTGTGAAAACCTTTCTTCAAAGGCAAAGGGACAGGAAGGGGAGCCAGGAAAACACCATTTTACATAATAATGAGTTTATTGTATTTTAAAAAGTCACACTTAGTTGTTCTAGCTGTATTATTAAAAATCTCATTTTATGAACACTATGTACCTCATTGGGTTAATGGGCTAGTCATTTTTACAAATTAAGAATGCTATACTGCTATAAAGTATTTTTTTGTTGTTGTCAAATCTACCTCGACATCCAACATTCTCACTGTTCCTGAATGGGGAGGCCACCCCTAAGAGGCTGCCGAGGTTCCTGTGTTTAGCAAGGAAATGCCTGAAAGCGGTTTCTAGGCTCTGGACTGCACTGAGCCCTTGCAAAGGGAAGTGACATCAAGTAGATGTCCAAGTGACCCCATGAACGAGTTAAGTGCAACTGACCAGTCATCCCCTGGCTTATCTGTGCTACTAAAATTAACTAAGAGATATTTTAAATAAAATTTAAATAAATTAGGGAAAAAATCACAATGTTTTAGTCCCTTTATAAGTAAGCTTTCCTTATTAATAAGAAGCTTCATAATCATTTTAAAAAATTTATGATGAATTGGGGTTATCTCAGAGATCTTTTTTTAGCTCTAACTCCAAATTAGGAATATCTCAGTGTTAATCTAAGATTAATCTGAATGTTCTTGTTGTATAGCACTACTTTTAAAAATTATCCTAAAAGATATTCTTTAGACAGAACAACTCAACAAGCAGATGGGGCTGAGCTGACCCTGCCTGAAAGGCCACGCTGGGGAGAAGTCTGCATCCTGCAGAGGCCCCTGGTGCCTCAAGGCCTGGTGGCTCCCACCTTTCACACTAGCCCTTGAGCACTTTACTGTCCTCTTGCTGCTTGTTAAGAGCACAGCCCTGGGACTTCTGCGTCCATGCGCAGTATGCCCTACTGGTCTAGCATTCCCTGGTCAACATAGGAGCCAGGAGCCATGAATGGGATCTAAATTTTAACCCAGTACGTGAAGTACTGAGCTTCTCAGAGGCCCTTGCCACAAATCACATACTCAGAAGCTACACGTGTGTGGGTAAGCAGCCTGGGTGCTGCCAGCAGATACTTCCCTCACTAAATAACGCTATGCTGCACAGCTCTTATCTAGAATGCCCTGTTTTCTCTACACCCAGGATTCCTTCCTTGCAAACTGCCCCGCAGCTTTCCCACTCACTCCCACCCCAGCCAGCCCCAGCCAGACAGGGTGCCACCGTCACAGGTGGGGGTGTGCAAAGCTGTTCGGGGCAGTACAGCTGTAGATGCTACTTGTCCATACCTGCAGCCTGGTTCCCTGCTTGGCACCCCCCACAGAGACTACTCAGTGCTGTCAACTGTGCCCTTAGGGACAGTCTGTATCAACACACCATCCTCATCTCTGAGTGGCTGGGGACAGTCTTTTGACTCATAGACTTTTCTAGAAAAGAATTCATTTCTGTTCATCTCCTGTGGTCCCTCCCCTACAGTTGCTTGTCTGAGGTAAGTTTAACGTGAAGTGCACCCCGCTTAAAGCACAAACCAACTTGAGTTTTCATAAGCTGACAGTGTGGACCATATCCAGAACAAAAAGCCCCTCTGACAGTGTGCCCTGCCCCACAGATAGGCACTGGCTTCTTCAGGCCCAGACAGGATCTGCTTTTCAATTTGTAAGAAGCAGTCAGATGATGTGTTTGCTTATGTCTCTGGCTTAGGAGGGGCTCCCTGTCATGAGCACTCCACTTGTGCTGCTCCTGCACATGGTCCTGGATGCTGGGGCTCTGCCTGGGTTTGCCAATTAATTTGGGGACCAGTGACACCTTTAGAGACTACTGAATATTCCTCCCAAACACAGTGCATCTCCCCATTTACAATTTCTTTCAGTAACATTTCCTGGTTGGTAATACAGAGATTTTGTACTTTTGTTTTTTACTACTTCATGTTTTTCTTTGATTTTAGTGTAAACTTAAAAATAGGGGAATTTTTGTATATTGTTTAATAAATTTTGTTTTTATATGTTAACTTAATATTTAGCAACTTGTTAAATTTGCCTTTTTTTTTTTGGAGACAGAGTCTCACTCTGTCACCCTAGGTAGAGTGCTGTGGCGTCATAGCCCAGAGCAACCTTAAATCCTTGGGCTCAATTCACCCTCTTGCCTCATCCTCCTGAGTACCTGGGACTATAGGCATGGGCCACAATGCCCAGCTATTTTTTTCTATTTTTAGTAGAGACGGGGGTCTCACTTTTGCTCAAGCTGGTCTTGAACTCATGAGCTCAGGCAATCTGCCCGTCTTGGCATCCTAGAGTGCTGGGATCACAGGTATGAGCCACTGCATCTGGCCAAATTTGCTTAATTGTAATGGTTGGTCCATATATATGGATTTTCCACGCATATAGTCTGTCACTTGCCAATAGTAATAGAGGATGTCACAAACATCACTGTGCGTAGGGAAAATGGGAAATTATAGCTAAATGTACCTCTATTTAACAAATATTCATTATTCAATTTTACTAAATACAGGAGAACCTGTCAGAGATGACCATCCCAGGCACTACAATACAGTGTTCAATACATCAAACTATGTCTGCTGTATGGACACATATCTGTGGTGCATGTCCAGGAAAATAGAGCAGTGTAAGAGGTGATCAACTATAGAGGTTCCACTGTATCCACAAAATATTCTCTATGTGTTGTCACCTCTGTAAAATTTTGGAATGACTATTTTGTAAATAAAGGTACATTTAGAAACAATTTCTCATTTTCACTATGTCTGGTGACGTTTGGGACATCTTACAGTTTTGTTAATGCTTTGTATTTCTTTCTTCTAACTTACTCTGCTGGGAGGATCTCTAGTCTAACACAATGAGGAAAAGAAAGCAGCCTAATTCACCAACTAAAGAGAAAAATCTTTCAATATTTCACCACAAAGTATGATTTTTGCTGTAAATTTTTACTAATAGTCTTTGTTAGATTAAGGAAGTTCCCTTCTTGTCCTAGTTTGCTGAGTTTTTACCATGAACTGAATTAAATCTGTTTTTCCCCAGAATCCATTAATGTAATCATATGCTTTTTTTTTGCACTCATTTAGTGAACTGAATTACAATGGTTTTCCAATGTTAAATCAACCTTGATTCCAAAAATAATACATGATGACCCACCCACTGGTCATTATGAACTATCAGTTTTATGTATTGCTGGATTAGATTTGCTAATATTTTTTTTTGAAAGGTTTGAATTCATTTTCATGAAACAGAATGGACTAAATCCTTTTTTTTTTTTGAGACAGAGTCTCATTATGTCGTCTCCCGTACAATGCCATGGCGTCACAGATCACAGCAACCTCAATGCTTGGGCTTACACAATTCTCTTGCCTCAGCCTCCCAAGTAGCTGGGACTACAGATACCCACCACAATGCCTAGCTATTTTGTTGCTGTTGTTGTTGTCATTGTTGTTTGGCAGGGCCCACACAGGGTTCGAACCTGCCAGCCCGGTGTATTTGGCTGGCACCCTAGCGGCTGAGCTACAGGTGCCAAGCCAGAATGCCTAATTTTTTATTTCTTGTGACGTCTTTGTTAGATTTTAGTATAAGATTTTGTTGGGCTCATAAAAAAGGTGGAAAGCCTTCTTTCTTATTCTGTTCTCTGGAAGAATCAGCATAACATGGCTGCTATTTCCTCCTGAGGTATCTGAAGTTTGTTGGGCCCTCAAGCCTTGCTGTGTCCTTAGGGAAGAGCTCCCACTTCAGACTTGGGGCCTCCAGGAGGGCTTCCTCTTTCTTCACATTTCAGTGTTATTTGCTGTGTTTTTCAAAGAATTATGTTCATTTTACCTAAATTCTCAAATGTATTGGTATAATATTCTCTCATCTCTTCAGAGACGACCTCTCCCGTCAGGGTGTCCCTGTCTTCACTCCGTGGACTGGATTCTCATCTCTTCAGTGACATCTTCTGTCAGGGCGCCCCCTTTTCACTCCTTGGACTGTCATTCCTTCTCCTTTTCTTGATTAGTTTTCTAACAGGTTTATCAATTTATTCTTCTTTTCAAAGAATCAACTTTTTCTAAGGATTTCACATTTTTAGTTTTACATTCACAGCAAAATTGAGAGCAAGGCAGATACTCCCCATGTGACCCTTGTCCCTGAACACCCCTGAGGGCACCTCTGTTATAGCTGATTAGCCTGCATGGACAAAGCCAGAGGTAACAACAGAGCTCTGCTCAGTGTGGTGCATCTGTAGGTCTGCACCTTGGTTCCCCCACCAGAGTGTTCTACAGAGCAGCCCTCTGGCCCTGACCAGCCCCCATGATCCACCTGCTCACCCCTCCCCCCAGCAGCCACTCCTCTTTTCACTGTCTCCATAGTTCTGCCTTTTCCAGAATGTCATATATTTGGAATCATATTGCATGTAGCCTTTTCAGATAGATTTTCACTTAGTAACATGCATTTAAGGTCTCTTGGTGTCTTTTCACTGCTTAAGATTCATTTTTTAGTACTAATATTCTACCCTCTGGGTGGGCCACAGTCTGCTTACCCACTCAGCTATGGAAGGACACCTGGCTGCTCCCAAGTTCTGCTAATTATGAACATGG